ATTGCCTTGTCCTAAAATACTAATCTTATTGGTTGCAACACGAATTACATCATGTTCTCCATACATAGATCAAAACTCCACCAAAAAAGCCTCTAGATTATTCAATATTGAATCTCGTTGTTCAAGAAAAGATGAAAATCACGATAATACTGAATCTGAAAGAAGCGTACCGATGAATCTAACTTGTGATCTTGGAGTTGGATAGCTTTGGGGTTGAAGTTCAATCACAAGTTGCACTTGATTGATAAATCCTCGAAACTTGGATCTGGTGCCATCAAACTTCTCGGGTAGGATAATTCTTGGTTCTCTAACATTGGAAGGGCATTCCACTATAGGAGAAAGGATATAGTTTGGTTCAGATGTTGAAGCAGCTCCAACCATTTCTATATCTTCACTTCTTGCCAATCTTGTTGCTCCTTATGGTGGTAAATTGAGTTGATGCATCGCAAGCATTAACTCCCTCAATTGCTCTTACATTTGTACCATTGCACTCTTCATTTCAACAAGTTCTGCCATGATAACACTTAGAAGAGAGAAGATGTCTAATATCGCTCAAGACAAATAGAAGAGAAGACGTGGGAACAAAGAAAATACTAAAAACAATATCAGTTTAGAAGAGGGTAATCCGCAACTTCTAATATGCTTATATCTTATCAAGAAAAAGGGGTAATCCACTCTTAATCAAGATTAGACAAAGCTCTGATATTGTAGGTGTACTCTTGTCAATCTATCAAGGACAAGAATTCGATGAAAAATCATTTCAGCCAAGTGAGCCTTCACTCAAAGAAAAGTAATAAAATATAAATAAATAAGTATGTATATTGAAAGAAAAACTAGAATTGCTATTGCCAAAAAACAAGAAAACTAGAGACCCTTGAAACTAGACTGGAAGCAAGAAAGGACTTGACAAGAGTGAAGAAAGCTTCACTCTTGTCTCTATATATACTACCTAACTAGGGGCTATGTGGCGACGTTCTATAGGACCTCCAATATGTGTTGACTTTGTAGGACACATGCCTTGACTTATAAGGCAAGTTTTTTTATGTGTGGGCCATATAGTTAGATTGATCTTCAAGCTAACAACATGTGTGGCACATGGCCAAGTTGTTGACCACGTTTCTAATCCAAAAAGTCAATTAAAGACACCTATGAAGTCAAAGCAGCATCTAAGAAGCTTTTAGGAAGCTTCCATATTAAATACTATAGAATTAACTTTTTTTAACCTACTTTTACTTACTTCTATCTATTTGTATATGTAATTACTAGCTTATATGAGTATGTCCGTGATAGGTAGCTTGGATGAGATTCTTACAAACAATGGAAATAAATTCTATAACACCTTCATAGACATATTGGCAATCCACTTGTGCACCAAACACATAACCACTTTATTTTATCATGTACAGTACAATGAATTAATGTAAAGATTTAATTGTATGCTTTGTACATTAATTGAGAAGAATATCCCATACAATGATTATTGGCATATAATATTGCTAGCAATAATCTTTGTATACCAAACAAGCATCTACTCCAATATCAATGTGTCTCATTTTGAATTAATTTATGATTGCAAATCAAAGTTATTTATGATGCTTGTAAGTAATGCAACACTAATAGAACACCTTATGGATTTTAACCAATATGAGAATTCTATAATAGTCTACCATGCATATCTTATTATATATATATATATATGATATTATTGCTAAAGTCCAAATTATATAGAGGGAAGGATATTATAAATAGATGTATTACACTTGTAAGTTCATTATAGGTGATTTGATTGCATACCATAAAAAAATTCAATGTAAAAATGGAAGAAGTTTAGGGCCAAATTTATTGTCCCATATAAGATTTTTATATTTGATGATGAGCAACATTATTGCCAACATATACTTGTAGACTATTGTCATATAACATAACTAATATGTAGAAAGGATGGAGAAATTATTATATTATATAAGATCTTACTTCAAATATTGTAGCAAATTATCTTAGAAAATAGACAATAATCCAAAAGAAAATAAAATTAAAGGTGTAAATGCTATCTTTTTACAAAGTAGGCTCCTACTTATTTTGTAAGATAATAAATAAGGAAAAATAAGATAGATTAGAAAAATAAAGAAAATGAGCATATATAAGAAAAAATTAGGATTTTATTTTAATAAAATTTAACTCAAAAAGACAAAATTTGATACCCAAAGAGGACCAGTTATCAACTTGGATTAAAATCAGACCCTAAGGTACAAAACCAAGTATCTATGGCAACTTGGAGGTTCTTTTGCAAATTAGAGAGTGGAATTTAAAACCAGAGCTGATAAGATTTCTTTAGGCATTAAATTTAAGTGATTTAAGTATATAATGACTATGTAAGAGCTTTACAAAGTTACAATTTTTTTGAGTGACTCTAGAATTTGTGAAATAAAAATGGTCTAATATTTTGGAAATTTTTGTAAATTTGGTAGTAGATCTATAGTTCAAATTTCAAAGACTTATAAAAATAGTTGTTTGAAATATATGTTGTAAGTTTCAGCTTAATCGAATAGCTAAATTGAAGGTTATTAAATTTCAAGTAGGTTGAGGGCTTAAACATTGGACTTTAAGGAGTGGTTAGGATTTCTAAGATCTTTAGTAGTCTATTAGTTGGATTGGAGTGAAATTTATATATAAAAATAATAGACTTGATTTTCTATATATATATATATATATATATATATATATGAATTTTTAGAAAAATTGAATAGTGTGAGAAGGAGATATTGGTACTAGAAGACCAACATCAAGGTTGAAGAAAGAGGTTGGCTAACATCTAATTAGACTTTAATTTTCTTCAAATTGTATGCTTCTTGTAAACTTAGTTGTTAAAAAGTATGTAAAATTTTAAGCAAGATGAATAATTTAATCAATATATATATATATATATATATATATATTAAATTTTTAAATTATGCTATGATTAATTATAGTTGATTAGACTTTGATTGAGGTTTGGTTTAGAATTAGGATTGGATTAGGATTTAAAATTTGGTTAGACTTTAGGGTTGGACTAGGATTTAGAATTTGGTTAGGAATTGATTAGGATTTAAGATTCGACCCATAATTTTATTGAAGTCCATTAGGGTTCCAATTAGGATTAAATTAGGACTTAGTTGAGATTTATTTAAGACATATTTGTGATTATTTTAATATTTCTTTAGGATTTCTTAAAGATTCTTTTAAGATTTATTGTAGATTACTTTTGAATTTTTTTAAGATTTTGTATTATTTCTTTTGTAATTTCTTTAATATTTCTTTTAAATTTTATTAAAGCTTGTTTAGCATTATTAAGGTTTAATTAGAGTTATTTAATATTCTATTAGAGTTAAAATTTTGTTGTTGTAATTTCCATTCTATCTTCCACAGCCAAGTGCTCGGTGTGTTTTCAAGCAAAGTTCACGTAATCTGACTATGCCTTGATATCAAACCTATTTAATTTATGGTTCTTATGTTTGACTTCATGTACTATAATTTACAAGCTAATCTAACTCACATCAACCTAATTGGTTGTAATATAGACTATATGCCAAAAAAATACACAAATGTGTAGTCATGCCTCAAAATCCTATAAGGAGAAGAAGAGGTAGATAGCCCTACATATGTAGGAATAAGAACCCATTATGATGCTAATTTTGTGTCAATCAGTCATGGCAAAGTAATGTCTACATTATAGGATTTTCTTATATTCATTGATCTATCAATTTCAATATAAATAGTTATGTATCTTGCTATAGCAACAAGTATTTGGGTTTCAACTTACAATCCATATATAACACAATATCTAAGAGTATAGAGGTTTTCCATCTCAAGTCATTGCACACATTCATTTCATTAGCAATAACCATGCCTAGCATCTCCCATAATTACGTTTGGAATTTTTTCGATCTATTGTGTAACATTGCATCATACACGGTCTTCCATCACTTTTGAAGATGCATATGATTAAAGACGTTCCGATTCTTAGCTCTACAGTGGCAAGACAAAATCTTTGCACCTACTCTATGTCACCTTCATTTGCTTCTATTATATTGCCAATTATATTGCCACAAGTACAAGCCCTCCCAATTGTTTGCTGCAATGAATAACTTCACATTATTTATATTAGTCTCAGTTCTGCCCCATCCTGCCCGTGAACACCTAAGACATAAAAGTATTTGTTACCATGCTTAGATAAGACATAGAAACATGTTGCACCATTAAAAGAGAATCATTTACTTGGTAATAAAAAATAAATAAAAAAGAAAAAAGAAAAGTACCTATTAAGTGTCAAGCAACTGTTCTCAACTCAATCCACTGCTCCTTTTGGTCCTCCTGACTTTTCCTACCACATTTTCTTAAACATTAATTCTCCAACTCGAGAAACACATTCTCGGTTAGATTTTATATGTATATATATATATATATATATATATATATGTATATATATTCATACACAAACATTTTATTTTCTTCGAAAACGGGTAAACCGACCTTGCTGATCAATGAAACAATTGGAATAGTATCAGAACATGTTGAATAAGCCGATTAGCGAATCAGCTGGGTGGTGTGTGTGTGTATATATATATATATATATATATATATCAAAGTGAATTATCAATGGCCATATGGAAAGACAAATGAAGGAATCCAGGACTGTAGGAGAAGATCTGCAATACCATCGTCCTTCCGATCAGTCCTACCTGTAAATAGAACACAGTCGAGGGCTGCGATTTCATAGAACCTTGGACCGAAGCTTCTGGCCGTCGGAATGTGTCTGTACAAGTCTGAACAGACTTTTCATAATAGACCATGATGGAATGTGGGACCTGTACAGATTTTAATAGTATTTACGTGTCTGCAAGTGCATTAATTTTGGCATGTTCGTTGTCGTGTGCGGAGTTGGAGGAGTTCGATTTGTCTACTCGGGGAGTTGTGCCAGGATTCTCATACCGATTCTTCCCCTTATCGCAGTCAAACTTCTGTAGGTCATGTAGGCATTCGCCTTCTGATTTTGAATCTGGAAATTCTGAACCTGTGGTATAAGACTCTGTTGCAAAGTATAAGTTATAAATCCGCAGGATTATGCGTCCGGTGGAGCATTTGGCAAATTAGTAAACCTTAGGAGCTCGTTTCTCTGCAACAACTGACTCTTGGGAGTTTGCGCGATTCAATCCAATTAACTTTCCCCGGCAGGAGTACTGCTGATGATCAGGTGTCGCACCGGTTAATTTACTGCCTTGCTGTGTTTCTTTACGATGCTCCCGCAACTGCATTCCTAGCAAACGTGGCCTTGCCCAGGTTCATGTGTGCGAGCAGAGTGACGTTTACACCCCAATTGAGTTCTCTTTCTGGTTCTCTCTCTACTACGTACAGGGTGTATGGACTAAGCGATGGATGAACGAAGGCTGTACTTTGTGCTGTTCTCACGGACAAGCTTTTCAAACCAAATTCAAGCTTGTCAAGCTTTGGATTTGGACAAGCGTTTCAAATCGTTGTTGTTTTCTCAGCGTTTCATCCAAAAATTCCATCGTGGTTTTGAATTTGGTTTGACAAGCTTGATTTCGGCAGAATTGTTAACGACTTAATGCCTTGTGTGCACGATCTGTACGTGGTTTAGTCGAGAGTATGCTGATTGTGGATATAGTACGAAATTTGTTGCTCTACGACGACGATAACGCAGGTTGCAACTTGTGGTTGAGGGGTTGTGTGCGCTGCAATCCTTTCCGAGGTTGTGCTATTCTCGCCGTTTCTGTTCGCGACATGGATGATCCAATATCTCCTGTGTACAAGAGTGGACAAGATATGAGCAGGAGTGGTTCTAGAATGTTTTCCTCTGGATGGTTTGAAATCTTCGGTCCCTACATACCTAACGTACTGTTTGGATCCCACGTTTGGTTCGAGTTTAGACATTTCTTTGAATGATAGAAGCCCTGAAGACCAACAAGCCTGTGATCGGGAAAATTAGCGCCAACATCTATCTCACATGTGAGGATTGTAGAAAGATTGGACCCATTTAAATGTTGTGGAATGCGTTTTCTGAAACAGAGTTCGTTGATGTGCATCAAATATTACAATCGTTGTGTCAGAAAATGTACGAGACGTCCCCACGTCAGGAATCTGGTCAGACTTGTAATTTTGGTTTTATATTTGTTGCGACCCCACTTCTTTATCACCAGACTTATTAATTTTATCCTGTTTGATCTTGTGACAGATGCTTGTGTTTCACCCCCACTTCCGAGCCTGAGTGGTCCTGCTATTTACGATGTTTATTTAATATGGTGTTCAAAATGAGATAAGTTTGAAAAAGATTTTCGAAGAAACCTTATTGCTCTGATATCTTTGAAGGCGTGGATGATTGAATTATCAATTTTTCTTTTGAAAAGTGTGAACCACTATATATATGCCCTCACTTTTCCACCAGTTTTTATTCCATTACATCAACGTTGTGTTAAGTACAACGAAGAAAGAAAATAACGGGTGAGAGGGATTTATGTCCTTCGTCTAGAATTTCTTTTCACTGCGGTGATTTTGGAAACTTTTTCTTGTAACTTCATTTTTCTAGGTAGTCGATGTGATTGTCGGCAACGTAAGTTTTGCAGCATTGATCACCTAAACTTTGTTCAACTCTTAATCGTTAATATTGCAGTGACTTTCACTCTGTCAGAAGTTGGTTTGCTAATTCTGTAGCAGTCGCTTTGGTGTAGTTGGTAATTTCTTCTGCTTCTGCGCTGCCTAATATTTTTTCATGGCCTTGCAGAATCGTGTATTTTTTTATGAGATACGAATATCCTACCCAATTTGCTTTTGATGATTTCCGAGCACCCTTTACTATCCTCACCGCTTTGGTTTGGGCTGGGGTTTTGCACAAAGTTTGACCTTAGTTTTTCTCATCTTCACAAACATGGCGGGCATTCGTGTTTATCATCGTCACAACCGCTCTCCATCGAAGGTGGGGCAGGACCAAGACAGGTTTGTTCGAGCTGCTTGTTGTAAACATCCTTTGCATCTAGGATTAGAAAAAAATAAAAATAAAATAAATCAAATAAACTTTATTTTCCACCGTCTATTCTAAGAACACGAAGAAGGAAATAATACTATTCAGTAGTCTCTGCCCCCCTAGATGCGCTTTTCACTTCTTAAGTTCTCTAAGCATTCTAAACCATCTTCGCTCATTCCAATAAAACATCAAGTGTGCGTATTGACGGTGCCAATTGTACTTGAGGGTTATGACTTCTTTATCTTGATTTAGTTCAGAGTGTTCACAAAATATATATATATATATATATATATATATATATATAATAAAATAAAATAAAAGCTTCAAAATTATCTGTGGGCAGAACATCGGTAACCCATTCGCATGTGATAATACTTTTCATGTACCGTAATGATTCCATAAAGTAGCGACATCGATTAGTCTTTAAGCCAGGTAGGCATGCGGTCGGTCTGGTTTGAAGATCTCATCATGCCGACAAAGAGTCGAACAAATATTGACATGCATTATATGTTTCCAATCTGAGTTTGAAGTCTATTTCAATTGTTGGTAACAATTATCCAGATTTTATGCCCATCGTTTCGGTCAGCTCCAGTTCGGTCGAGAGCACTCTTCTACGAGTTCTGTAGAGCGATGGGATCCGTAACTAACAAACTGTCTCGATTGGCAAAATTTACCGCTACAGCAAACGACGAAAAACTTCATCACACAGAAAGCTCAAGACAACTCGAGGAACAGAGAGAATCCTTCTTGCTTCGAATGGCGATATTTCGAAAAGAGACGACAAAGAAAAGGTCTTGCAAGGTGCTACTAATTTCGACTCTGCATCAACAAGTCTCATGAGAAATAATCTTACAGAAGTTCCAATGGTGCGCAAATCGCCAGTCACGACTGAAAGAGAAGGCCCACATATTTCCCCAGACATTATGGATCTTATTATCAGCAAGCTTCCAATGTCTAAGGTTATGCAGATGCGGACACTGAGCAGAGATTGCAAGAACACTATTTTTCGGTCAACATTTATCAATTCGCGTCGGAGCGCAATTTCAGAGGGTACGTTCAGCCCAGTTGTCTTCACCACAGATCCCTCAGGAGCCTTGCACTGGCTTGGGTTTGACGGGAGTTCGTGGTTGAAACTTCCTCCATTGAACTTCTCACCCAAACATTTTCCATCTCCCGACGCCGACCTCTTCAAGGACTACCTTGTGGCATGCCATAGAGGCCTCTTGTGCATCAACGTAGGCAAAGCACCTGACTTCGAAAAAATTATTGTCTGCAACCCTCTCAAACAGCAGGTTTGGCCAACACCTCTGTAACAGCTTTGATTGTTTTTTTACCTCTAGCTCTCGAAATTAAATCGGCGTGACTAGCTGCAATTGTGAACATTTTGTTTTGTGACACTGTTCATTGCATCCTGCACAGCCACGACGGTAGCCTTCTTCATTTTTGTAAGGATACTGGAAACAAGACAAGAGATCCTTGTTAATCATCCTTTTCGAGGTTTAGAATTCATGCTTATTCTTTCAAGACTTTTCATCACAGGTAAAGGTCCTTCCTCCGCTGAATTTCCGTAGGCATCCTGTGCTGATGCACCTCCGGGTGTACGACACTGGTCACTACACGGTTGTGGTGGCTGGAAGTGCGGCCATGGGAAACGAGGAACTGTCCTTCAAAACGGAACAATATGATTCCAGAACTGGGGAATGGGAGTGTCCTGAGGATTCAGATTTATCTGGACTGCCCTTCTGTCTTAACGAATTTCAAAACGGAGCTTACTATAAAAATGAGATTTCCGGTGAGGAGCTTCTGCTGTGTGTCGGTTTCATCGAATCACATGGAAGAGGAGTTCTGGTGTATGATTTGAAGAAGAAGAAGTGGATTCCAGGTCACCTTAACCGTCTCATTCCGCTAATGGACAATGGACGCGGTGGTGCATTGGGTTGCAACTTCGCGTCCACCCAGATTGTGGAACACGACGGATGTGTGTATCTGTTCAGCGAGCAGGAATGCGGGAACGAAGCGTATTTCCGCATTCACAAGTTGAACATTGATGCAAAATCCTCAAACAAGATGTGGGTCATCATGATGGTGGAGAAGAGGAGCAGAGGACGAGGTTTGCTCGTGTATCCGGAGTTCACTTGTGTGCCCTTCGATGACCACCAGTTGGCCATCTTTAACACCATTGAACACACCATAGAAACTATTGACTTCTCTAAATCCACCGGGACCGCACTCATCCGAAAAGAAACACTCCCAACCCTCCAGGGTAACCGCTTTCACAGCTTAAACCCCGTTGGTTTTGTGTACCGCCCAAGTTTCACAGAACTAGTCTGCCCTTCAAGCTCTTGCGATGTGAAGACGCAAATTTGCAGCGAATGCGAAAGACGGGAGAAGGAAAAATTTGGAGGAGGGTGAGATACACAGCCTGAATCAGATCTTTGTTATTATTGTATCCCTCCCCCTCCTCCGGAAATTTCCTCTCTCCCTATTTTGCTAACCTCTCTCTATATATATCTGTGTGTGTGTGTGTGTGTGTCTGTATGACTGTTTTGTGGACCCTTTGTTGCATATTTGCTGTCATGTCATGTCCCCTCGCCATAACAATATACTAATAAAACAAGCCGAATCCATTGTTATCTTCACAACCTCCCTAGAAGGTCAGTAGAACGTCTACTAGGTGTTATTATTAGAAGATAACAGTAGTTGGCAATGGCAACGGATGGTTCAGGTAGACGGAAATACTTCAAAAATATGACAACAAGAATCAAAAGAACGTACTTTTGTAGTCTACAACCATCTGTTCCTGCAAGCTGATAAATAAATACATGTTGGAAGTTTGAAGTATACTCATCCAACATAAGAGTGTTTGTAGGGGTGAATAAGTGTAGTAGCATTCTCTTCACTTTCTTGTTTATTTCCTCAAATATTGTTGTTTTTTTATTATTATTTCTGCTTATTTCGTTTATTCTTTTCAATGCAATATAGTTTCAAAAGAAAGGCAGCGGTTTTTTAACACAATCTGCGGTGTAAAAGGCTGACTGAAACAACAGACAGCGAAGGAGAGCGAGGGCAGTGTGAAAAGGAATCAGAGCGCTAGCTGGCAGTGCAAGAAAGAATGACGTCATCGGCCATGTCACTATTGACAGCCTGGCAGAGCGCGGTCTGTTGAAGGTCCATGTGTATCTCATGTCTCTGTGACTCCCCATCCTTCTTTCATTTCCTACTTTCTGCGTGCACATTCACTTTTTCCTTTTTACTTTATATTTATAATTATCCCCAGTGGGCTCTCCCTCATTCATTCATCCACCTCATCCATTGGTTCATTCATCTTGGTGGAGATTCTCCTCAGAGAAACAGGACCTGGACTGGGCTCCTGCTGGATGCATTGAATTCATCTTGCACCCTAAGAAATTAACTAATTATTTAATCAAATTCCTTTAACAATAAACTGATATATTTTTAAAAAATATTAAATTCTAAAAATAAAATATATTCTTTTAAAAATAATTCATATTTAAAGCAAAATACAAAAAACAAAAATAAGATTCTTCTGCATCACACAAACGTCAAATTGTTATTCCAAGATATTCATAATACTTAATTTAATTTAATTTTTTACACTGAAGTATATAGATTCTTTATTTCTGTTCAAAGGACAAGATATCTATGTAGGAAAGTATGGATCTCAAAATCAATATATATATATATATATATATTAAAGATTCTTTTTAAAATATGTTGTGGGAAATTGAAGAAGATGACTTTGAAATCCAAGACAAGATTGATAAAGAAATTAATTATTTGTAGAAGATGAGAAAAAATCATATTCACAAGCACAATGATACTCAGATCCAATTAAAAAATATTGTTGCTCTAGAGATCATACATAAAAAATTTATGTACAAACTAACCCTTTTGTTGAAAAGATATTTTAGTAAATTATATATATATATATATATATATATATGGATGTGTTTGTAAGTATAGGACAAATTGTAATGTTTAGAAAAAGTTATAAATCAATTTGTGAAGTAAAGTGGAAACAGTGTTTGTTATTGTTATTATTATTATTATTATTGTGTATTGGTGATGATTAGTTGTGATAAAGTTTATTCATGTGTTTATACTATAATTAATATATGAGCAACTGAAGAAAAACTGTGAAGAAGGTTGTGCTTGGTCTATTTGGAATCTGTGTGTGATTGCATAAAATTACTTCCTGCTCATGTCTCCATGGCGCATGAGGCCTTCCGGTTGAGGTTTGCAAAGTCTGTGATGATGCAGCGCTGTGGTTCATTCTCATGAAGCGCAGTGTTTGGCGAGGGAACAGAGTTGTTGCAGCCGACCTACTTCTCTTGAAGCGTATGTAGCTTTTTGGTCAATGTGAGGGCTTGGATGTTTAAATACGTTTTATTCTCATGATGACTAATTGTTTCACCAAAATGATGGCTTTGTGTGTAATTTTAATCAATAATTTTTGTTAATATATTGGCTGATACGGAAAAAAAAAAAAAAAAAATTATATAATACCACTCAACATTACTAATGAGCACTTCAAAAAATAAAATTATCAAAAGCAGATAAATAAAATATTTGTTTTGGTTAAAATTAAAGATTTTATATTTTTTCACATAAATTAAAATTATTTTAGTATTAAGAAAAAATAATCTATATTTTATTTGAATATCGGAAATAAATATTTATAGTTAAATCTTTTGTAAAACATACTTATAATATTTTTAAATCATGATTTTCAATATAAATAAACTTAAAAATAATAGAAAAAAGTATTTAAGTATAAAAAAAACTACTTAATAATTATTATTTATTGATTAGCATACATTTGTATTAAAGTATTTATTTTATATATAATATAATACATGATATTACTAATTTAAATGTTTTATATTCTTAATTTAAATATGGTTTGTTATGAATAGATTTTATAACTTATGGTCTATTTATGTTTTGATGTTTGGATACTTATAATAATAAATAAAGCATAGATACAAATACTAGCTAAAAAAATTCCATCCACCATATATATTAGTTTATTCATTAAAACTCTTATATTGTTGAAAAAAAAGAAATTTAAAAAAAATGACAAAATTAAACATTAGTTTATATACAATAACACGCCAACTAAGTAATATTATATTCTATATGATGACTAAATTTTTTGAGTCTAAACCATTTTAAATTGTGCATTAGCTTTTCTAAAATCTCTTAAAATAACCTTTGCATAGAAACATCTACATACATCCACCATCTTACAAATAATTATTGACATTATGACAGTAGATGTATACATGTTCTTAGTGTGCTGATATAAAAATTTAAAACAGTAAATTTAATATATTAAAAAAATTATTTGTGGAAAGACTACAATGTATATTAGATATATAAACAAATAATTACTGATTTCAAATTTTTATCTAGAAATGTAAATAGGTTGTAGTTGAAAATTTCTAAATGAGTTTTTACTTAAAAAAAATGTTTGGATAATGTTGGAATGTAAACATTCCAATATTTTTCTTGTCTTTATGTTATTTAGAGGTTACATATCATACATAGATATGTAGATATGCAGTTTACTTAATTATTGTTATAATATTTTACAATTTAATAATTATATGCAAATAATATTTTAATAAATTAATATTTTTTGTGTAAGTAAGTTTATTTTTCTTAAATTTAGTAAAGAAAAAAGTAACATAGAAGAACAGTAAAATAAAAAGAACAATCCAAAAAAAGTTGATTTCATAGAAAAATTAATAATTTGATGTTGCAATACAGCTTCAAAATTTATACCATTGGATGAAGAATGTCTTTTAGATGATTATTTAAAAGATGAAAATTAGACATAAGTTTTTGTAAGAAAATAAAATCCTTTTTTAATGTATTTGATTCAATTTTTTGCAATAAAACACAAAAAATTAGACATTATAAACATGTGATAAGTAAAAGTTCTCTACTCCATTTAGTCTTAAGCTCAAAGCTTTTTGCTTCTGCTCTAATAGATTTTCTAATATGTTATTATTATTCTTATTATTATTCTAGAATATAATGGTTAATTGACATTTTAAAACACACTTAGTGGGCTTTGCATTTGGGCTTATAAGTTATTGGGCATGCCAAAACATTTTTAACCTAACCTAATTCTTAAATTGGATGAATCTACACTATGAACATTTACTATAAGAGGGTTTAAGATTCAAGGTTTGAGATACAACCTTCTTGATACAAGCTTGAGAGTTGTTTTGATCTAGCCACAAAAACCACCAAAAGGTGGAAATAAAATTGCTTGTTCTTCTTGGAGAAATTTAATGCGAGAGGATAAGCTGGGTCAAAACTATTCTATTATTCTATTCATAAATGAAATAGTTTTGGCTAACCATGGCAACTTTCTCCAAAGGTGTCAAGCAAATCTAAATCCACCATGGACACCTTCAATTTTCTTTTCTCAAACAATATTTTCTCAGTTTTTCCGCCCCCTATCATGGAGCCCTTATTTTTTATATATATATATATATATATATGTATGTATGTATATGTATATAGAAAATGTATCTCTTTTAAATATGTTACTGAAACTGTGGGCCAGAATAATAAGATTCCGGCGACGATAATCCTGAATCAATCGGCTTTCTGATTGCCAGACACGTTAGCGCACCACGATGGCTGCTGGTAAGGGAACAATTCATCATCTAGTGGGGGGCTAATTAATTAGTCCGTCAATCGGCGACGGAATCTACAAAGGAACGAGGGGCTGGGTTCCTTTTATCTTCCGGTGACGTCGACTGTGCAATCGGTAGGCGGAAGTCGCTGCAATCAATCAGAAAGAGGGGACTGCTGCTACAGACTCGCTTATGGATGGATGGGTGGATCCGAGCCCATCGTCGGAACTTCGGTCCAGATGCACAGCAAGGTCGTTGGCAATCCGTCACGTGATTTTTGTGTCAGCGGGCTGTTCCTGGAACACCCGTTAGGTGTATATGTTGGCTTCTGGTGCGGCCTTGGGTTACAATATTTGTGATCAAGCATAGCTTCTTCAGAGTGGAGTTGCTTGCTTCTCACCGCTTGATTGGTGGAAAGAGAGATAGTTAGATGAGCGGGCCGATACCCATATTCGACAAGTAGAAATCTCTCTGGGCCCGCGTCGAATTCTGACGAGGTCCAGTGAGAACCTATACTTTGTCGCTGGTTTTGAGAGCTCCAATGACCAGTGCTGTGCAATAAGAATTCCTCCTGCCTCATTCCGAGAACTGGGAGTGTGTGTGTCTGTTCGTTCCTTCGTTCTTTCGTTTGTGTTTTAACGTTGTGTTGGGAGAGATGGGGAATAAGGTAGACAAGTTAGCGGGAGTACAGGAGCTCTCAGTATATGAGATTAATGAGCGAGATAGAGGAAGCCCTGTGATCTTGCCATTCGGTGGCAAGAAGGACGAAAATGGCGCTCATGCCAACAGTCTCGGCGACCTTGTGCCCTTCAGCAATAAGGTACTGTTGCTGCCTCTCTTACATAGTTGATCCCTCGAGACTCGCAGTCCACGTTTCCGTGGCTCCTTCGACCGCCGAATATTGATTCCATATACCCCGTAGGATAGGCTATGGCAAGTTGTTGCTGCACTGGTTGAATCTGTCAGTCCAGCACTCATCTTAGATCCCTAGTCTGGTCTTTCGAATACCGCAGGTGTATGATGGATCGTTGCAGAGGCGGTTGGGAATAACGGCGGGCATTTGCACGTTAATATCGCACAACGCCGAGAAGAAAGGTGACCGCTATGAGGCACAGTACAGTTTCTACTTCGGTGACTACGGCCACATATCCGTGCAAGGGCCATACATCACCTACGAGGACACGGAACTGGTCGTCACGGGAGGCACAGGTATCTTCGCTGGGTGCCACGGCGTGGCCAAGCTCCATCAAATCATCTTTCCGGTCAAGCTCTTCTATACGTTCTACTTGCAGGGGATTAAAAAGCTCCCGGAAGAGCTTTGTGCTTCAGTTGTGCCTCCATCGCCGTCTGCGGAGCCGTCGGAGCAGGCCAAGAAATGTCATCCTAGCTCGGTAGCCCCCAACTTCACAAATTAGGAGCTTTTAGATGACACTTTTTCCGGCTCGCTTGTATATATTCCAATGTGAACTCCAATCTTTCATCAATCCAGGCTATTATACGTTCTATCCAGCCTGTTGTAAATTAGATTGTTGTACCAGTGTTCTATGCATTGCCAGTATCTGAGACCAAGCTAGCCTGGTGTAAACTCTGTTCGGGGATCAATTTACAAATGTAACGTTTCTATTCGGAAGTTTGGCCCATCGTATTGGTTTCTGTGCGCAGTGCTCAATGCTTTAGAAATTATAAATTCTTCCCTCATGATCTCATCCGTTGCCTTGATTGATTACAACAATACCAGAATTAAATTGAATCGGATTGTAAGTTCTGTTAGTGTAAGCAATTGGCTGGACGTACTTTCAATTCTTCACACCCAGGATATTTCACATACGATCAGCGAAGCAAATGCGTCTCATTTTTGCAAGACAAAAGACGATACTTGTCACTTACTACGACAGGGTCGTCTTTGTGCATGGTAGCAATCAGTAAACACAAGCACATCTGAGCACAGGACAATTTAACCTGGAACACCAGATAAAATACTGCCGTACAATCACTTGAGTGTGAATTACCTCATTTTGGGGTACCCAGTTTCCAGGATTACTTCATAGACAAGGTCAAGAGCACCCCCATCGGCCCAGTTTCAAAGACCGAAACCAAGATTATGGCGTGGCACATCCCGCGCACTGCACAAAGGCACGCCACCCACCAGATTTACGCTAGAGCTACGCAAATTTGGCATGGTGAGGGAAGCCTCGCCAGATCCCATTCTCCAATAGTCAACATTTTTCTCAGTTACAAAATCATTAAAAAGACGAACCTGCGTATCGAACCCGCCAAGTGGCATGCAGCCATGCATCCAAGCTCGTTTACCGTGTAAACCGGTGGGGCCAGCAACCGTGATAAGATTAGGTTCAGTTGTAAACTTGTGCCCTATGCCGAGCCCAGTTACAGGGGCACGGATGGGAATGATCGAAGGCGAAGAACTGTGCGTTAGTCGTCTATTGATCCCCCAGCAAAGACCCACCGGCTTGTGGGAATCGAAGTAGGCTTGTCACGAAGATGCTGTCTCCCGTCACGGAATCGAGGCGTGCCTATTCAAGAGCCCCTCGGTAGGGATGGTGTGGCGAACGAGCATTGGAGAGAACAAATTGACATCGTCATCTGTGCTAAGTTCAACAAAATCTCAGTGGGTGATCAAGCTAAGCGCAAAGAACGCAACCACCAATCCAAATAAAAAAGCGACTTGTGGATATGATCACTAACCCTTGCCTGACTTCTTCTGCCGAAGATCCTCCCAACTTTTCGTCACCACAACTTCCCCGATTCATTCCCTAGTGAACACCACGCTGACTATGTTTCCGCATCTTGTTCCGCTCCACACTTCATCTCTGTCATGCTTATGGGGAAATGCAGTTCAAACTCCCGAGCTCTTACTAGTGCTGAGGGAATGTGTGGCAAGCTACCTCTGACTTATCTCGTTTTCAACCTCGTTAACAGCACCCGCATCGTAACATCGTGAGACGCACTCCTTCCTCTAGTCTTCTGCTATGTGTCACCGGATCTACGTACCTACAACGGATGACAACTAGACTCTGATCTGTAGATGGAGGATGGATTGGGGTGCAAATTACCGACATTAAAGTTCTGATTTTCAGAATCGAACTTGCAGACAGGGAATATGAACAGTAGTTCCTGCGGTAGCTCCAGCTTGCGAATATGAGATCTTACTTGCTATCCCAGATTATCTTTCACTCTGAAGCCATGGACATAAATAACAAGGAGCTTGACGAGGACATGGTCAGATTCTCCTTGCAAGAATGGTGCATTCCTTTGTTCCGAGCATCGCCAGGGCACCAGTCTTGTTGCCCACCATGCAATCAGTCTGCTACACATGGCGTCCCCACCTCGCAATCTTAAGAATATAGTACCTTGACTCTTGTACAATCCCATGAACTAATCAATCTTGAGAGGAATCCGTCTGCTAGTCTTCTACACATCAGCATATTGGTCACTTTAGGCACGTCTATATCCCATCATATCATACAACCTTCTTTCTTGGTATTCGTGCTACAAGGAAATGATGATATTTTCATACTTATTGTTATTTCTCAAATGAGAAACAACAATAAGTACAACATTCAATATGACCTTTGATATGTATCCAATTTGCAAGACATATATCTTAACTTGCAACATAAGTTTTTTTATATGTGCATTATTGTATTGTGGTTCACCTACTATGTATATAATTTATTATACAATATAATGAGAGCTATGTTATTAGATTTTAGTTGATTACAAAATATGATTAGATTACTACTTTGAAATAATTAATTTAAAAAGGCTATTATTGAAGTTGATTTTATGTTGGTAATAGTTTTATATATTTAGAGCCACCTTTATTAGACATTGGTGACTTTTAAAAACTTGTTTTGTTTCTTTTATTTGGTGTTTAGAACATATATTATGTAAATCTTATTAAAAAAAAAGATTAGAGAGAGATTTTGAAAGCAAAAAGAGTAGTTAAGGTATCCATATGGATGAGTAGAGATGGATGATGAAAATCCCTATTGCTATTAGCCAAAAGACATGGTAGACTTCAAGGAGGTTCCTTGAAGCCTTATTAGGAATTAGGGTTATTTTTTTTAGAGCATTTCAACTTGAAAGAATAAAGTCACGAAGTTTAGGTTTTTGGCTATGATTTCGGTCCAAATTTTGTGTGATTTGGAGTTTTTTTAAGAGAGATATAGGCACTCAAAGTTAAGATGTTGATTTTGTACATACTGTCATTCTTTTGGACATAATGCACACATATAGAAAATAATGAAGGATTAGCGATTGGAATTGAAGAGAGAAGTTTTTTGGCTACACTTTTCAAATACTATTTGATGAATTCTAAGCTAGAATGAAGGGGATATAGGAAGTTGAAGTCAGTACTTGCAATCTAAAGACAATAAGTAACCTGATTTATTAGTGGATAAAATTTCAAAATATATATTATCATGTTTTTAAACTTTATACAAAAATTTTGTAGCATTTGGATTTTGGATTTTTGAGGTATGGAGAAAATAGTGCTTGAGTGCTTAAAAATTAGGATATAAAGCACCTACTAGGATTTTTAAGATTTCAAATGATTTGTAGTAGATTTATGGTTTATTTTTTTTGTGATTTGGTATAAAAAAGAATGTTAAGAAATTTCTAAATGCTTTAAAAAGCTTCATATATAAAGCTTCTTAAATATAAAGAGAATTTTATTAATAGAATATTTTTTGATATTATTGTATTTATGTGGCTTCTATAATAAGAATATATTATTTATTAGAACTTTTCTAATAAGTTAAAGTTAAATTTTCTACAATTAGGTATCCAATATATTCTTAGTTAGAAAATCAAACCATATGATAATGCCACATTAGTTGCTTGTATAATAAGCTACCAATATATGTGAGATATGGCTAATTTGTTAGCGAAGTTTCTAATCCACCAATCACCTATAGATATGTGTAGATGTGAAATTGCATCTATGAAGCTTTTAAAAATAATTCTATAAAATATTATCAGATTAATTAATTTATATTTATTTATATTATTTAAATAACTATTAAAATAAATTTGTATGTCTATAATACCTCTTTTTCTAAAGATGAGTTCTAAAAGAAGTGGTGATTACATGTTGAAGAAGTCTAAGATGTAGGATATTATATTTACTACAAAGTCTTATCTTTGATTCTTTTAAAGGTAGTTGATAGGTTCTTTCAACTACCAATAATGTTTCATTCCATGGAAAAAAGAACACCTTGTTATTTAATTATTGTTTAGGCTTTGTAACTTCTTTTAAACAAAATATTTATAACAACATCAAGAGTTTTTACTTCTAATAAAACCACCAAACATTGAAAGTTTCTTCCAAGGTCATAATATCAAACACATTATATCTCATCATCTATTGAAAGAAAAATGTGTCATTCTTAAAGGCCTTCACTTCTTTTATATTATTTTAAAGGTTGTAATAATAAAAATATCTTATCTAATAAGTCTATAAATAATAGCTCTTGATTTGAATCTATTGGTTATTGATCCTCTATCTTGTTGGTACCATTAATGTAAAAAAATAAAGATAAAAGATAAAAGTTGGAATGCAATCTTCATTGATTATCTTTTTTTTATAATAGAAATTTATTAAAATCTTTATTCTGATTTTGATAATAGTTATTGATGAAAAGCTTTGACTTTTTCTATTGTATTTTTTAAGATTCTTTATTAGCTTGCATGTACATTTATTAATATCATATCCGTCCCAATAAATAAGATACTCCAACATATTTTGGCTCTTATCACAAATATATATATATTTATTCTAATAATTATATATATAATTTAGTAGAAGTAGATAAAAGTAGATTAATTTCATAATATCTTCTAAATAATCTTCTTAGATGGTATTTTGACTTTATATGTATTTATAGTCGATTAATAGGTTAGAAACTTGTTTAACAAATCTAAACCATTCAAATTCATACTATCTTTGAGTGATTTTTTTATTAAAGTTATTAAAATAAATAAGTAAAAATTATATTATAGATAATATTAGTTTAGATAAGTTATTATTAGTCAAAAGGTTGACTCTTGGTATGTAAGAAGGTCAAGAGGTAAGGTAGATGAATAGACAAAGGATCTTAAGGATATAAAAAATATACTTAAGATATATTCTTTTAGTAGATAAGATAGGAATGGATAGTCTCGATAGAATGTTAGATAAGTGTATTCATCAAATGATGGAAGTTGTTTATTAGAACAATAGTCACCACCTCTAAATAACAAATATTGAAAGTGAGAGATATCTTACTTAATACTGTCTTTGTATGCAAAGTTGCTGATGATAAGTGTTGTGACTTCATAGTACTTGTTTTTCAATAGGTTATAGACCTAATTAACTTTAGTTGTGAATTTTGAAGTACTTTGAAGTCTTACTTATTTTGAAGAGTAGATCTTTTGGTTGTTGCTGATATTAGGATTTGGAATCATCTAACACCATTGTTGTATCTAGTTATTGATGTAATTTTGCTCTTACTTGTTGTTAAGTGCATTGTTAATCTTGAAGGTTGTTAAATACCTTTTAGTGATGTTTTAGAATACTAGTATTATATTTCTTTGCTGATTTACATCATTTATAATCTAACATTGTGGTTTTATATGATAAACTTCCCTTGAGATCCTCTTATTGTGATAATTTTTTTTTTTGTGAAGTTAGAAGTATTTTATGAGAGAATTGGGGTAATTGTAGTATGACAAAGCTTATACAAGAGGTTAATATAGAATATAAGACTTGTGAAAAGTCTTAGAAGTATAGTTGAGAGTGATTTAAGAGTGAAATCACTTATTTATTTACAAAGAGAGCATTTTGGAGTTTTTAAGGCAGCAACACATTCTTGTTGATTTTGAGAGTTTTGTTTTGTTTGTTTGTTTGTTTGTTTGTTTTTTTTTTTTTTTTTGATTTTCTTTGATTTATCTTTTTTTTAAACATGATTTTAAGTGAAGATAAAGCTTTGAGAGTAATTGAGAAATTTAGAGGTGACCATTGGGAGAAAAAAATAGAACTTTTGTTAGCTTCATTTGTCAAGGACATAAATCTCAAAGAAAGAGAATCTTTAATACATTCTTCTATCACTAAAGAGAACTAAAAAATCATTGAAAAGGTGATGTAATATTAACTAGAATGGCTATTATTAAAAACAAGAAGATTAGAAAATCTTGAAATAAGACTAAAATTAGAATGGCATTGATAAGAGTGAAGAAGGCTTCACTCTTGCCTCCATATATACTATCTAATTAAGAGCTACGTGGCGATGTCCTATAGGACCTCCAACTTGTGTTGACTTTGCTAGCCACATGTCTTATTTTGTAAGACAAGTTATCTATATATGCGCCATGTAGTTGGCTTGTTCTACAAGCCATTACACGGAGATAACTTATTCCACAAGCTACCCATACATGGTTAGCTTCTTGGCCAAGTTTCTAACCTACAAACACATCTAAAGTCAAAACCGCATCTATGAAGCTTGTAGGAAGCTTCTCTAGAAGACTTTATGAAATTATTCTATATTTATTTACTTTTATTTAATCATATAAGTAACTATTGAGGTAAATGTATCTGTTTGTGACATCATTAGACCTATGAAATATTGTAGATGAAAGTGAAGAGCCTCTAATTGATGATAGTGATGTTAAGGTGAATAAGAAGTACAAACGTTGTAAAATTTTTTTTTTTGCATGATTGTATGAAATTTGGATGATTCCAACTTTTCACATGTAACTCCTTGTAATAGACTAGTGAAAGCATGGAAGACTCTTTACAACATCTATGAGAGTAGAAACCTTGCTAATATTCTCTAAACAAAGAAGAAGTTCTTAATAATAAAGTTAGAAAAAGAAGATGACTTCATGGATCATGTCAACAAGGTAAAATCACTTACAAACTAACTAGCAATTTTTGACAAGCAAGTTGATGATAAAGATATTATATTGACATTGTTCATGAGCCTTCCCGAGTCCTACAACTACCTCATTGTAGCATTGACGTCTATTAATATGAAGGAGCTTACCATGAATTATATTACATCAACGCTTGCTAATGAAATAATCAAGTGGAGAAAAAAAGAGCTTCAAGGTGATGATTTGGCTCTATTTTTAAGACAAGGCAAAAGTAGCTATTCTCACCAATGTGATAATTTTAAAAGTAACATAAAAATTACTATATTTATAGAAAATTACATTATTTTACTAAAAATTATTATAAAGTTAAGAAAAGAGATAGAGAGAATACAAACAATGCTTGTAATAACTTTGATGGAGATGACTATGCTTTTATAGTAAGTCAAAGAGCCTCCATGGTTGCTATATCTAAGTGGATTATAGATTCAGATACTGCTATGCATATGATACCATATAAATGTTCATTTGATACTTATGAAGAAATTTTAGTAATCAAAATTTGGTTGGGAGATAATGACATGGTACAAACTATTGGAATGGAATCCATTGTTGTGGAAATAGTTATGAAGCACCAAATTTAGAGAATCAGGTTGAAAAAGATTTTAAATATGCCATAGATAAAGAAAAACCTTCTTTCGATGAGCAAACTTATATTACATGATTGTAAAGTTCAATTTAATAAGAATGGATGTTTTGTGAAGACATTGAGTAGACAACATATTGCCAAAGGTGTTAGAGATGGCAACCTCTACTA